CCCCAAAACCCCAAAACCCCAAAACCCCAAAACCCCTTAATTTTGAGTAATTATTGAAGAAAGGAGTTAATAAATTATTTCATATTCTGCTCAATCGTTTCGAGCGTATTCTCTACAAAGACTCTGGTCTCTTCGTCCTCTGCGAACTTGTCTCCCATGATCGACTTCAGCTCGTCGATGGTCTTCGTGATTTTGGCGCCTTGCTCAAGATCGTACTGCCAGCCTGCAGTGAGCAGACTCCTGGTCTCTCTGAGCTTCAGTGACTTGACCTTGTCATAGTCGTCACTCCGAATTGAGGAGACCAGTCGTCCGTACAGCTTCAAGATGCCAGTGTCTTTCGGACTCTCAGCTAGCACTTTGTCGAATAAATCGAACAGCACGTCAGTGTTTCTATGGACAGCCTCCGGAGTCTGTTGAGAGTCCTTGCTTAAGAACTTATTGATGAAACAGTTCGATACTTTGAGCATCAGTCGCTCATTCACTCGGTCGACTTTATTCAGCGTGATCAGCTGTTTGATCGACGTGACTGCTCTCATGAACAGATTCGACTGCAAGTACAACAAAATAAGGTTCTCCCAAATCTTCCAGTTGTCTCTGCACGACTTGGCTGCATGTTCCAGACAAGACTGAGCTTCTTTGAACTTGTCGAGCTGCATGTACGAACTAGCCAGGTTCGACCAGGCTTCTCCGTGGCTTTCATCATAACTCACGACGTTACCGAATGCGTAGATGGCCTTCTCGAAACAGCCTTCTTTGACATAGGCACATCCAAGAGCATACCAAGATGACGGATACAGCTTGTTGATCTCGAGAGCTGCTTTCAGACACTCAATGGCTTCAGGCATCTGGCCTCTCTGGAACTTCATCATTCCGAGAGACCTCATCGGCCTTGCATTTCGGTGGTTGGAGAGCTCCCATGCTCGCTCGTAGTACTCTTCTTTGCGCTTGAGGTCTCCGAGCAAACACATGATTTGCGGAGTCTCCCCATGCTCTTCGATGACAGAGTCAATGTACTTTTCAGCCTGAGTGATTTTGCCGCTGACAACCATGCATTGAGCAGCTTCTTCAAAGAAATCCAGCTCTTTGAACAGCTCAAATGCTGACAAGTAAACTCCGATCGACTGGTAGGCAAACCCGAGCTGCTTCTTGAGGTTCCACGAGAACGGGTACGGGTTAGCGTACACGTAGCGTGTTCTCTCACCAAGACTAGGCTCTTCGTCGCTGAACTGGTCGATGAGAGTTTGCATTTGGATCATGGACCGTTCTCTTGTTTTGAGTCGTTCTTGTTCGTTCTTGGACCTGAGGAAGAGACTCATGGAGAAGACAAGCCAGTTGTTTGAACATTCCAACACTCTTTCAATATAAGCGTTTGCTCTTTCATATTGAAGATCATATTCATTTGGCTTAGAAGTGAGCTCATTATTTATCAAAGAGTTTATATAGATTTGTAAATTCAAGCTCACATTTGTTTCTTTCTCCCCTTCTCCTTCTTCAGTAATTTTTACTTTTTCCAATAAAATAGATTCTTCTTCAAGGCTTACTTTTTGGTGGGAGCTTTTACTTTCCTCTTTTCCTTCTTCTTCAGCTTTTCTCTCATTATCAATTATTAAATCGACCGGACTCACTTCTGGGTGAATAAATTCATCAACTCTTTCACTTTCAATATTCAGAACCAGCTGTGGTACATCGAACTTCTGGTATTTTGTTCTTCTTCCCATTTTTCCAGTCAAATTTAGCTTGATGCCAATCAATTTTCTTGCCTTCTCAAGAGCATCTTCTGATTTGGAATACTTGAAAAAGTGAAGGCAGCAATTACTATATTCTATGAGTAAGTATGCTTTTGAGTTAGAATCCGCTTCTTCCATCTGTTCCAAGTACGAGCTGTAATAATCTAGTGACTTGTCTTGCAAATAACACACATTCGAAGTCAACAGCTGGTTATGCACCATGTGGTACCTCGCCTTCCATACTTTCGCACACTTCGGAATCTCAAACGCTGCCGACTCCAGTGATAGCAGGATGTCCAGGTAGAGCAAGACTGGCAACGACTTTGTGTTTTTGTAGACGTTCTCGCCTTCTCGTGCGAAGTACTCGAGCAAGTAGTTCTGGAACTGCTGGTCGTCTCCATTCGGTGAGATCACATCGAGCAAGCCTGTCTGCTGCTCGGTAAACGCCTGCTTGTCTTTGTTTCCGGAGGGGTTCCGGAAGCAAGGCCCCAACACGTTTTCTTTCATAAACAGACTCAGAAGCAAGTTGCACAGCAGTAAGTAATTCTCGGGGTCAGAGTTCGACACGAACGTCGACAAGATGTCAGTGAGGCCGTCGGTGAGTTCTGGCCAAGAGCCGTCTTCGTGCAGTTTGCACTCTTCAACCGATTGCCGTGTATGGTTGGCGAGCTCTACAATCAAGTCGAAGTTGCACAGAGCTTCTAGAATCTCTTTGTTGGAGGAACTTGTGAGGAGAGTGAACAAGGCAGCTTGGACTTGCTTTGTCAAGTCAAGATCACTGATATTGTCATCACTAAGGAACAGGGTGTCTTCAAGTTTTACCATATTTAATATTAATAACAATGGTATTTTATATTTATTTCAATAAAATCTATCCATTAAGGGGTTTTGGGGTTTTGGGGTTTTGGGGTTTTGGGG